AATAAATAAATAAATAAATAAATAAATAAATAAATAAATAAATAAATAAATAAACAAATAAGACAAAATTCTAAGAAATCTCTAACTAAATTTCACCCTAAGTAGTTTTTTGAATTTAAGGGCACTACAATTAGTTCAAAACAGAACTAGAGGAAACTAAAGATTTCAGGTGCCCTTCAAAACAGAAAATAATAATTTCTCAAGTGAATGATAATTGTTATAGGATGAAAAACAAATCTTTTAAAAAACTCCATAAATTTTATTTTATTTTATTTTATTTTTTTCCTTTTTTCGTATCCGGCAACGGATCGCAACCCTCAGTGTCGCTACCGGACCGGGACCGGCAACGGGATCGCAAACCTTGGGGTTGCACCCACACCTCGCTCAGCCAGTGAGCAGGAACCGGTCTGTATGTGGGATCCGAACCCTCGGCGGGAGCGCCGCCACGCTCCCAAGCGGCGCACTGTAGCAGTGCGCCACCGGGCTGGCCCAAAAACCCCATAAATTTTAAAACACGCTCAAATCCCCACCTTCTATAAAACAAAGCATCATACAGTCTACAGGTAAATTATATTGGTTCAAAAAAAGAAGAAGAAAACAACAACAAAAGAAAAACAAAACAAAGTTTTATTGGTTCAAAATATGAACAGGGGGGCCGGCCCGTGGCTCACTCGGGAGAGTGCGGTGCTGATAACACCAAGGCCACGGGTTCGGATCCCATATAGGGATGGCCGGTTGGCTCACTGGCTGAGCGTGGTGCTGACAACACCAAGTCAAGGGTTAAGATCCCCTTACCGGTCATCTTTTTAGAAAAAAAAAAAAAATATATGAACAGGGCTGGCCAGTTAGCTCATTTGGTTAGAGCACAGCCTAACAACACCAAGGTCATGGGTTAAGATGCCCATACTGGCCAACCCCTGCCCATCCCCCCCCCCAAAAAAAATTAAATGGCTGGCTAGAACAAAGACTATTAAGTCGGGTATATCAGATGTATTTGTTTATAATAAATCTAAATTTTAGGAATTCAGTCTGCAATTAAAATGCAAAACTGAATACAAAAAACCTTTCTAGAATATTAGATAGAAGGCACAGTTTTTTTTGTTTGTTTTTTTGAAAGCACAGATTTTAGACCAGGAGGCAAATAAAGGGCAAGTAAAGTTCCTTTAGTTGCTGACAGTATGCTACCTAAACCAATGTACATGACTTCAGTACTGTATTTCCTAATGGTTTGGAGATAAAGGTCCTGAAAGGGAAAAAAGTAATTAATTAGAAATTTTAGCCAAACTCAGGGCCGGCCCGTGGCTCACTCGGAAGAGTGTGGTGCTGATAAACACCAACGCCACAGGTTTGGATCCCATATAGGGATGTCCGGTTAGCTCACTGGGTGAGCATGGTGCTAACAACACCAAGTCAAGGGTTAAGATCCCCTTACCGGTCATCTTTAAAAAAAAAAAAAAAATTTTAGCCAAACTCCACTGACGTAAAAACAAGACAGAGCAAAGCAAAACAGAGCAGCCATAATTAGGAAGACTTACTTAAGTACAGCTGCATTATCTTTCAAGCCAAAATCAACATAAGAAATAGGCGTGGTCATGGAATTAAAAATTACATATAGCAACATTATTTTTAGCATTCAATGAACATGGCTACAGGCTAAATATACATCTGCAGAACAGACACTGAGGAATACACAAATGTATTGTTGATAACTGTTAGGAAAATTACTGATTTTGCATCTCCAATGCAAGAAGCATGCTTTTGGCCAAATATTTACTGAACACCTAAGCAACAGGAGGGATTTTTAAAAAAAGTCATTTCCAGATCTTCAAGAGTTTATAGTCTAGATGGGGAGATTAAGATATACATCTCTGCTAATGAAGAGAATACCAATTGTACATTTCCATCAATCTTCACAGTTCAAGTAAATTATATATGAAATTTAGTAAAGGACTTCAAGATGTCAGATAATGGGTGTGTGTGTGTGTGTGTGGTCCCCCCCCCTTTCTAGCCTTTTTTTTTTTTTTTACTATGAAACAGCACACACAGAAAAGTACAAAAATGTAGAGCTCAGTGAATGTCACTATCTAATACCACTCAGGTCGAGAAATGGACCAACCCCAAAAGTCCTCCTTGTGTCTCTAACTACTTCTCTCTTTCCCCACAAAGGGAATTACTATCCTGACTTTTACGACATTCTCTCCTTGCTTCACTTTATATGTTATCCATTCCAGCAAGTATCTTTTTTTTTTTCCTTTTTGTCTTTTTCCGTGTCCGGCAACGGGATCGCAACCCTCGGTGTTGCTCCCGCGCCTCGCTCAGCCAGTGAGCGGGAACCGGTCTGTATGTGGGATCCGAACGTATTTAAATCTCTAACAATTTTTAAGATGAACTTGCATTTTCAATAATTTTTGCTTTATATATTTAGCTTCCATGTTGTTTGGTGCATACAAGTTTATGGCTGTTATATCTCCTTTATAAACTGTGACTTTTATTATTATGTCCCTCCTTATTCTGCTTAGTGCTTTTAACTTTAAATTTCATTTTTTTTTTAAAAGATGACCGGTAAGGGGATCTTAACCCTTGACTTGGTGTTGTCAGCACCACGCTCACCCAGTGAGCAACCGGCCATCCCTATATGGGATCCGAACCCGTGGCCTTGGTGTTATCAGCACCGCACTCTCCCGAGTGAGCCACAGGCCGGCCCAGCAAGTATCTTTAAACTACTGTTTATTTTGTCTGTTTTTTTGAACTTTACATAAATTGAATTATGTAGTTTGTATTTTTTGTGTTTGGCTTTTTTCACTCCACATTATTTATGACAATCATCCATGCTGCTATATGTAGCTGTAGTTCACTCATTTTCATCATATAAATATATTAAAATTTATTTATCCATTCTATGGTTGACATTTGTGTTGTTTCCAAATTCTCAGCTATTATAAATAATGCTGCTTTGAGCATTCTTGTACAAGACTTTTGATGCACATGTGCCAGTATTTGTTGGGTATTTAACAGGGAGTGAAACTGGTGGGTCCAAAAGTTTTTTTTTAGATAATGCAAACTGTTTCCCAAAGTGATTGTGCCAACTCTCACTCTCCAGTAGTGCAAGAAGGATCTTTCTTGCTGTTTTACATCCTCACCAACACTTGGTGTGGTCAGGGTCTCTTTTTTTTTCTTTCCATCAGGATCAAGCCTACAGGCAGGGTTTCTAACCTTAGCTATTCTGGTCAGTGTATAGCACTATTTCATCACAGTGTTAGTTTTCATTTTCCTGCTTTCTAATAAGTTGAGTGCCATACTTCCTGGTAGGCCTGTCCTACTCCCCCCCCCCCCCCCCCACACACACACTTCTGTGTAATTGGAGTTGCCCAGATAGGCGGAGTATTATTAAAATCTGAAGAAATAATTCCACCAATCTTTTGGTCAAATACCCTAGAGAAGCCTGCAGGGAGAAACATTCAGTGACAGTGATTTCCTCCTTTTTGTAAGTTTTGATTTTTTGGTGTGAGTCTCATGACTCATCTAATCCTCTATCAAGTCATCACTTAGTGCTTCTCCTTTTTCTAGTTTACTGTATAAGCAAGGACAATTTTAATCATTTCTGACATATCCAAAGCATGTAATGATAGAATAACCCTTCATCCCAACCCCTACCAATGATGTTGGCCTATACCTACACCTTTTCCTTCTCTTACGTCTTTTCCCAAAAAAGACTCTGATTCTCATTATTGTGGGAGTAGGCAAATGTAGTCTTCCAAAAACCTCTATCTTAGTTACTTTTTCCTTCAATCAGTCCGAAACACTCTTGCCAGCTCTTAACACTAAATTTATACGTTCCTTTTCTTAGAAACATCCCCCAATCCTTCTACACTGTTAAACATTTAGGCCTTCAATCTCTTTAGCACCTACACAATCTCTTGAGTTTCTCTGTTCATCTTTCTGGCTTTTACTATTTCTTTGATTCTTGATAAATGCATCATGTTTTCTATACAATCCCTTCAATTTGGAACGATGTTACATTTCATATTCAAGTTCTGGCCTTCTTTACAATAGCTATTTCTTTCACTAAGTGTTTTTCTGACTATGTGGAAGTGGACTACATTCTATCCTAAACTGTTCTTATCCCTTTCAGTATTCATTGCTCACAGGAGGCACTGAAGAAATATCCTGTTGAGGAGAATTTAGCACAACACAGGAGGTAGATATAAGAAAACGACCACTGAAAAAGTCTTTAGACTCTCATTAATAGTGATAATATTAACTTCCTTTCACTGTATAAACTGACATAGCCATTTATTTTTTGAGAACAAAATTATACTTCCATACACACTATAGGTATCTCTTAGGTTTCTGTGATGCAATCAATGTGCAACAGATTTATAATCTGGTTTAAGTACATCATTTGAGTACACAACACAGGACTTTTTAATAGGGTATGAAGAATATAATGTGATTTGGCTTAAAATGTTGATAGAAGATAAGCATCTACATAATAATTTAATCTGAAAGTCAGATTTTGCACTGGGTTTCACGTGGTTCCTAGTAAGTTATTGGAAAGCATTTTACTTCACACAGGGTCTGTGTCATAAGTTTAAGAAAAGACTCATTATATTTAAATGTTTCTACTTGCTGTCTTTATCATACCCATTTCCCACTGCTGGGGAGTGAAACATTTGAGTGAAAACTGGGCAAGTATAATTTGGTTGATGGGATATTATAATAACTAAAGAACTTGAAACAGATATAAGTGATCTTTTTCAACTTAACATCCAAGGTCCGCCATCAATATTCTTTTTATTAGATCCCTGGTATTTCCTCCCTATTAAGTGGCAACTTTAACCCGTCCTATAGGTCATGCTTACTCTCCCCTCTGTGCCTGTTACTACATGCTCTCCCCACCAATCCAAGTTTGGTGTTTCAAGTCAAACTCACCTTCTACAGGAAAGAGACCTTACTTGACCCACTGTTGATCACCCGACTTGCCTTTCTCTTTACTCTCTTTGTACATAGATGTCAAAATGATTTCACCTCTAGAGCTTACTCTGATCCACTGATAGTAGCTGCTTGTTCAAAAGGATTCTCAGAGTCGGGAAAAAAAGTATCTGCCCCAGGAATAGGAGGTGAAGTGGTATTTGTCATCTCTGTCTTAGTACGTTTTTTTAACATCTTGAAAAGAATTGTTCTTATACTTTTGCATCTTTCTATTAGATATTTTGAAAGTTGAGAACATGGTAGGTACTCAATATAAATCTGTTAATATTATTAAATCAAGTCTCCTTATTCCTAATTCAACTCTTTCCATAATAAGCCTCACAAATTTTCTACAACTCTATTGAGGTACAATTTACACACCATAAAATTCACCCATTTTAATTGTATAATTCAATGATATTTTTGTAAATTTACTAAGTTTGAATAACCATAATCTAGTTTTAGAACCTTTTCATTACCCCAGTAGAATCCCTAGCCCCAGGCAACTACTAATCTACTTTCTGTCTTGATATATTTCCTTCTCTGAAAATTTCATATAAATGGACTCAAAATATGTAGTGTTTGGCTTCTGCTTCATCCACATTGTAGCATGTATCAATACTTCATTCTTTTTTTTTTTTTGTCTTTTGTCTTTTTTTTCCGTGTCCGGCAACGGATCGCAACCCTCAGTGTTGCCCCCGTACCGGACCGGGGACCGGCAACGGGATCGCAACCCTCGGTGTTGCCCCCGCGCCTCGCTCAGCCAGTGAGCGGGAACCGGTCTGTATGTGGGATCCGAACCCTCGGCGGGAGCGCCTCCGCACTTCCCAAGCGGCGCACTAGCGCAGTGCGCCACCGGGCCGGCCCAATACTTCATTCTTTTTAATGCTAAATAGTATTCCATCGTACATTTTGTTTATAAATTCATTAGTTTATGGACCATTGGGCTGTTTCTACTCTTTGGCTATTATGAACAATGCTGCTGAACATCTGCCGTATAGCACACTTCTATTTTTTTTAAAGGAACTACTCTTAAAAAATTGTTTATTTTTTTGGCAGCTGGCCAAACCCTTGACCTTGGTGTTATAATACAGCATAAAGCAAGTATTCTTACAAAATCTCTTTTTTTTTTCCTTTTTGTCTTTTTTCGTGTCCGGCAACGGATCGCAACCCTCAGTGTTGCACCCGTACCGGGCCGGGACCGGCAACAGGATCGCAACCCTCGGTGCTGCGCCCGCACCTCGCTCAGCCAGTGAGCGGGAACCGGTCTGTATGTGGGATCCAAACCCTTGGCGGGAGCGCCGCTGCGCTCCCAAGCGGCGCACTGTAGCAGTGCGCCACCGGGCCGGCCCACAAAATCTCAAATATCAGAACAGATACTTAGTTTTACAAGTACTTAAAGTAGCTCTCTATTAAGACACACTGAATGAATTTATGATCAACACCTACAAAATTATCAGCCTCACCAAAGTATCTGAATGAAGTCATCAGCAGGCAGATACTAATCTATCCTACTTAACTTTAATAAAGAATCTCAGCAGCAAGCTTTTTTTTTTTTTTTTTTTTTTTTTTCCAGCAGCAAGCTTTTAGGCATGAGTTAAAAGCAATACATAAGAAATCAATAGTTCAGATTCAGAACAGAAGAATTTAACAGACTATACCATACAAATTAGATCCTATTATTATACCAAACATAAATCTTTAAATCCAGTAAAATTATTAACTGGGGGTAGAGAAAGAATTAAATTAAGACAATTGCACGTATGACAGTTTGACATAAAATGTCTTACTATTATTGGTGCTGCTGCCATTGAAAGATGCAGAAGAACTGTTATTGTCTTTCTCCTTATCTTGATTTTCAAAGTCCATATTAAGGGACCTATGGAAAAAAATTTTATAGTTTTAGTTTTGCTTAAGAAAGAAGCAGGTCAGAAAAGCCAGCAATGAGACAATATTTTTTAAATGCTGAGGCACTAGGAAAGAAAGGAAGATTTCTTTTGAACTACTCTGAAAAATAGTTCTTGTTGCCACATTTAAAAAAACAATCTACATTCCTTCTAACATGCCAGTTCAAGAGTTTTTCTGACTGCAGATGAAAGCATTCCAATGTGGCTGAATCTTCTAGCCATATCTCTATGTGCACATCCTTAATTACTTCCTTATGATAAAAACCTAGAAGGAGAAATGTGGGATCAAAGGGCAAACACATTTTGATACTTTTTACGTACCACACAACTGCTTCCAGAAAGGTCGTACCAGTTTACTCTCTGATAGCAGTGTAGGAGAGTACTCATTTCTCTACACTTTGTCAGCTTTGATTCAACAACAAATAGTTGAATCTCTTCTATATTTGGAACTGTTTTAGATACTGGAGGGACAATAAATAGTGAGCAAAATACTATTAGATTTCACATACATGGATTTTACATTCAAGGCAGAAGGCAGAGAAACAAGAAAAATAAGTTAAATATGTGATGTATTAATGGTAAGAGCTAAGGAGCAAAAGTAGGAAATGGAGGGGTTAGGGTTTGAAATTTTAGATAGCGTGGGCAGAGGCGGCCTCACTGACAGTGACTGCTAGGTCAACACCTGAAGGAAGTAATCACTGTGAATCTGGGGGACTAAAAATGTTATCTCACTTTAATTTAGAATTCTTATTTGAACAATTTTGTGTATATGAACTTGTCCATTTATTTTTTTGTAAACTACCTGTTTTAAGTCCTTAGCTCATTTTCTACTAGTTTGTTCCTATAAAGAAGGGGTTTGTGTGTGACTATGTGTCCAAAAGAACTTCCCGTGATGATGGAAATGTTCTGTATCTGCATTGGCCAATGTGGTGGACATCAGCCACACGATCACTTGAAATATGGTTAGTGTGACAGAGGAAATGAATTCTAAATTTTATCTAATTTTAATACATTTAAATGTAAATCGTATGAGATCTAAAATTACAAAACTTAGAAGAAACAGGGTAAATCTTTGTGACCATGGATTTGTAGCAGATTCTTAGATGTGATGCCAAAAACACAAGCAAAAAATACATAAACTGGACTTTATCAAAGTTAAAGACTTTTGTGCTTTAAAGGATACTATCAAAAAGGTGAAAAGACAACCTCCAGGATGGGAGAAAATAACTGCAAATCATATATCTAATAAGGGACATATCAAGTATATATAAAGAACTCTTACAATTTAATGATAAAATGACAACCCAATTTAAGTGAAAAGACAACCTCCAGGATGGGAGAAAATAACTGCAAATCATATATCTAATAAAGGACATATCAAGTATATATAAAGAACTCTTACAATTTAATGATAAAATGACAACCCAATTTAAAAATGGACAAAAGATCTGAATAGACATTTCTCCAAGGAAGATATACAAATGGCACATGAAAAGATGTTCAACATCATTAGTCATCAGTGAAATACAAATGAAAATCACAATGAAACACTACTTCACACCCAATAGGATGGCTATGACCAAAAAGTTACATAATAACCAAATCTTGGCAAGGATGTAAAGTTGGAACATTTCATACACTGCTGGGGGGAATATGAATTGGTGCAGCCACTTTGGAAAACAGAATCCAACCACGCTGACACCCTGATCTTAGACTTATTGTGGATTTGTGTTATTTCTCCTTTAAGTTCTATCATTTTTTGCTTCGTCTATTTTGAAGAACTTTTACTAGATGAATAAAAATTTAAGATTATTAAGTCCTCTTGCTTAATTGACCCTGTTATTATTATGAAATAACCTTCTTTGTTTGTTATAATCGTCTTTGATTTGAATTCTGCTTTGTCTGATATTAATATTGCCACTCCAGCTTTCTGTTGATGAGTATAAGCAACATGTATCTTTTTCTAACATTTTACTTTTAACCTTTTTTGGCTTTATATTTATAGTGTGTTTCTTGTATGCAGTGTGTAATTGGGTCTTGCTTTTTTATTCACTCTAACAATTGCAGTCTTTTAATTGGGGTGTTTAGACCAATTTCATTTAATGTGATTATTGATATGATTAGGTTTGAGACTATCATCTTGCTATTTATTTTCATTTTTTTCTTTAATTCAGAAGAAAAGAGGAAATTGTTATTTGTTTCCTACTTGTCCGATCTTTTGTTGTTGTTGTTCCCATTTATCTGACTTCTTTTGGATTAATACAGTATTTTTTATGATTCCATTTCATGTCCTCTGTCATCTTATTAGCTATAAATCTTTCTTTTAATTTGGTGGTTTCTGTAGGGTTTATAGCACATATCTTTAACACAGTCTACATTCCAGTTATAATATACCATTTCATGTATAATATAAAAACCTTACAATAGTTTATGTTTATCTCCCCCCACATCTTTGTGTAGATTTCCAGCTGGTACCATTTTTATTCTGCCTGAAGGACTTCCTTTAACATTTCTTTTTTTTTTTTTTTTTGTCTTTTGTCTTTTTTCCATGTCCGGCAACGGATCGCAACCCTCAGTGTTGCCCCCGTACCGGACCGGGGACCGGCAATGGGACTGCAAGCCTCGGTGTTGCTCCCGCGCCTCGCTCAGCCAGCGAGCAGGAACCGGTCTGTATGTGGGATCCGAACCCTCGGGCGGGAGAACGCCGCGCTTCCCAAGTGGCGCACTATCCAGTGCGCCACTGGGCCGGCCCCTTTTAACATTTCTTGTAGTGCAAGTCAGCTGCAGGTGAATTCTTTCAGGTTGTGTATGTCTGAAAAACATCTTTATCTTGCCTTCATTTTTGGAAGATAGTTTTGTTATAGAATTCTACGGGCCAGCCCGGTGGCACACTCGGTAGAGTGTGGCGCTTGGGAGTGTGGTGGCGCTCCCGCCGAGGGTTCGGATCCCATATAGAGACCGGTCCGCTCACTGGTTGAGCGCGGTGCAGGCGTGACACCGAGGGTTGCGATCCCGTTGCCGGTCGCGGTATGGGCGCGACACTGAGGGTTGCAATCCCGTTACCGGTCACGAAAAAAGACAAAAAGGAAAAAAAAAAAAAAAGAACTCTACAATGACAGTTTTTCTTACCGTACTTTAAAGCTGTTGTTCCACTGTCTTTTTATTTGTATTGTTTTCCTCTACAATAACAGTTTTTCTTACCGTACTTTAAAGCTGTTGTTCCACTGTCTTTTTATTTGTATTGTTTTCATTGAGAAATCTGACATCATCCTTATCTTTTCTCCTCCATACATACCATGCCTCCCCCAACTCATCTGGTGGCTTTTAGAATTTTCTCTGTTATCACTGGTTTTGAGCTATTAATTACAATGTGCCTTGGTGTAGTTTTTCTTCATGTTTCTTGTGCCTGAGTTTATTGCAGCTTATAGTTTTCATGAAATTTGGAAAAGCTTGGCGATTATATCTTCAAATATATCTTTTTGTCTCTTTTTTCAAAGACTCCAATTACCCATATGTTAGGCCACTGGAGGTTTCTCTCTGATGTTCTATGTACTATGATGCTCTTTTAATGTTTTTTAAAAATTTACTTTTTTCTCTATTTCATTTTGAACAGTTTATGTTCTTTCATGTTCACTAATCTTTTCTTCTGCAATATCTAATTGCTCTTAATTCCATCCAGCATTTTTTTAAAAATCTCAGACAATGTCATTTACTACATTTCTAGAAGTTTGGTTTGCGTCTTTTAAAATATCTTACATGTATCCATCTAACTTTTTGTATACTATCTGTTTTGTTGTACTTCTCTGCTAATTTTAACATCTGGGTCAATTTTGATGGACTGATTATTCTCCTCATCATGGGTCATGTTTCCCTTCCTCTTTGTCTGTCTGATAATTGCTTGTTTGCCTGACATACCTTTTTACCTTGTCTCAATGTTTTTATATTCCTAGTGGCTGCTCAATATCCTTATATTCCTATAAATGTTGAGCTTTCACATAGGATACTGTTATCTGGAAATGGTTTATTTTGCTGAGGTCTTACTTTTACGATTTATTAGATGGGTCTGAAGCAGTGCTCAGTCTAGCATAATTATTCTCTACAACTGAGGCAAGACCTTTCTGAGTATTCTACCCAATGCCATGTGAATCATTTTCCAATCTGGCTGGTGGGAACAGGTAAGCTTTCCTCTAATCCTTTCACATTATCCTTTCTTCCATTTTAGGTAATTTCCTGATTAATGCATGCACTGATTAATACTCCGATGAATGCTCAAGGGGTCTGCTTACATATTTCTGGGTTTTCTCTCCCTGTAGCTCTTTTCTTTTGTACGCAATTAACTCTAGCTGCCTCAGTCTCTCTGGACTTTCAGCTCCAGCTCCTTGATTTAGGGAATCTCTCTCCCTGTACCATCATCTGGAAACCATCTTAAGACAGTAAGCTGGGGAAATTGTTCATCATCTCTCAAAATCACTTTCCTTTGTTTGTTGTCTGATGAATAAATATCTTGAAAACTGTTGTTTCATGTATTTTATATGTGTTTTTTTTGGTTGTTTCAGGTGGGATGGTAATCTAGTGCCTGTTACTCCACTGTGGCTGGAAGCAGAAGTGCTTCTAGATAGTTCTTTTAAGTAATCAGGTCCTGAACTGAGAAGATTTTGAAGTGAAGGAGAGGCCTCTTTGCATTTCTTGTTCATGCCTTTCAAAGTCCCTGAGGGTTCTAGGACACTGAGTTTTATCCATTTCTTTAGGAGAACAGAGGAGGCTATCCTGAAGAGGTAGATCATAATCCTTCCTGGAAGGGACTCTTAACTAAACTTCTAGGCTCAGGTCACAATGATAATGCTCTTGATTTATGTTTTCCATCTCTATGACTCAAAATCTGTTGCTGGATTCAAGAGATTTGCTCCTTTAATATAACAGCCTGACACTCTCTGCCATTTGGCTTCGTGTACTTTCTTCCACTGTCTAAAAC